GACGACGTCAAGGCGACGCGGTGCGCCCGGGTATGTGCCGCCGCGGCGGTGCGGTCGCAGCCGCGGGCTTCAAGTGTGATGGATTGTGACTCCAGCCCGGGGGCCGGGCGTAATGCCACGGTCAGGGACAAACAGCGCCGCCCACCCCAATCCGACCTCCTCCCCGCCGACCAAGAAATAACTATAAACCCGCGAGCCGAATCGGGGGTGCGCGCCAGGAGAGGGGTGAGGGTGGGGGTCCTTTTAATTGCTCCTGGAACGGGCGGCGGCCTTTACTACTCACCCCTCCTCTTTCCTCCTTTCCTCTTAGATCGCGGTGGGGTGGGGCGAGGTGGGGCGGAGGGGCGGGGTGGGACTGGCGGGGCTTTCAGTGGCGGCGGCCGGGCTACAGTAGTAGGCCCAAGGCGGCCGTACGGAGTATATATCCGATCATAAAACGGTCTACTTTCGCTAATTACGTCAACGCGGGGACGGCACTGCAGAAAGCGCCAACGACCGGCTGGGCTGGGCGGCAACCATGTCTACAGGACAGGCGTGGCAGCGGCGGGGCGGGGCGGACAAACTGGTTAGCTCCGTTTGACAACGAGAAGCCGAGCCGATCTACAGCAAGAGTCAGAATCTCTGCGGAACGGAGTCTTCTCTCACGCACTTTCTCTCTCCGCCGATCTCAATCCCCAGCCCGCGGCGCCCCGCCCCGCCACGCCCGGTACCGTCCCGCCCGTCCCGCCCTCCACTCGGCTCAGCCTCGGTCTCCAAACGCGGCCCGCCTCGGGGATTCCAAGGAAGAAACAAAGAGAGAAATGGAGGGCGGGGTACGAGGCGGCGCTGGGTGGGGTGGGGTCGGGAGTTTAACGCTGCCCTGACTGACAGCACATTCCACAAGTCTACAAAACGCCTCTCAGGAATCGTTTCCCAAACAAAAGTTTTGTCTCCCCTCAGCGAGGCGCGGCTTGGGATGCGCCCGTCCGGGAGCTGGGTGAGCTCGGGGCGGGGCGGGGCGGCGATGTCTCACTCGGAGCCCACCTGTCACCAGGAGAGAACGCAGTGGTTTTCGAGGGGGGAGGGGGGGGGAGGGTCGACAAGGAAGAGAGGTAGGGATCCGGAGATCTTCTGCACGACGGCATCCTCGAGCTCCTGGGTGCCGGCCAGGCCCGGCAAGACCCGCCCTGCCCAACCCGCCCGAGTACGAGTTGGAGATAAAGTTTCCTCGTAATCTGCCAGCTGCGTGAAAGGCGCGCCACGGAATCCTGTGGCACTGAGCTCCCCCACCCCGAAGCGCCACACCGTCCCGCGCCAGCACAACCACATCACTATCCGTCGCTCAAATAGAGGACTTGCAAATTACTTTGCGCCTCAAATATTAGTGTTAATTAATGAGAGAAAGTTTGGCAATAAAATAGTGGGCTTACACGCTTGTGAGCGGGGAGAGGGGAGGGGGCGGTCTGCGCTGTGTTTGGACAGGATTGCGGGGAGGAAGGGGAAGGAGGTAGTACATCCGAACACAATCTCAGACACCGAATCTTTTACTTAAAACGACACCTTGACGTGTTTTGTTGTTCTTTTATTAAAATGTAGTTGTTGTAACAAAATTATTAGTGTTCCGTCTGCCCCTTGAGTCATACAACCATAAGACGTTCTTACATGCTTCGACCGAGCGTTTAGACGCTCCACCCAAACACACCGGATAGGGGATCGCCCAGAAAGTAGTTTTTTTCAGATTCGTTCAGCAAATTGCGGGGGTTCAGCGCCGGCGAGACTCAGGGCACGCTACTCCACCGTACACGCATGCACTCCAGACAAGATGTTGCCTATCTATCAGGCGCTACGAGAGCTTGACGAGGATGAACTACTTGGCGGTTTCGTAATGGCAAATGACGGAAGCATTTATTTCTTATGACCCAATCCCTAATCCATCAGGACGTCTTATGGCTGTGCAGACTAAACACCATTTTTAGTTACAACAAACCACTTTCTTTGGTCGGATGTAGTGACCAGACCAGACATTTTTCTCAGTGTGCGTGGGTGCTCGCGTGTGTGTAGGTAGAGGCATGATTTGGAGCCAGCCTCAGCCCGGGCCTCGCGGACCGGCAGCCTGACTATTGCAGCGTGTTATGGCTTACCGATATCTGACCAGTTCGTATTGCTATCCGATATGCTTGTTGCATTCCAGCTGACGGCTGGCCGCGAGGTTGGCCGACACGGGGCCTCGCCGGCCTCCAGCCGTGAGACTCGTGGACGGTCGCGCACGGTAAAGGGGTGGGAGGTGGGGGTGGGGGTGATAAGGGTGGGCAACATTTCGGTCCACTCCTCTCTCGCAAAACTTATCCGGCCCACCGCCACCCACGCGGGCCTGGCCGTGGCAGCCGAGGTGGCAGCCCCCGGCCGGCGTGTCCTGCCCAACAACAAGTTCGCTGTCCCTTCTGATGAGGAGCCGCACGCAGTGGCCCCGATTAGCCAGCACGGACACGCACTCAAGCGCTTTCAGAGCGAGAGCAGCGAGAGGCGCGCAGGACCAGCCGGGACCATCAGGCCGGAGTCGGGAGACTTTGCTTAATATTTGCCTCCCCTGCCCTCCTCCTCCTCCTGCCCCGCTGCCGCCACCCCCGCCCCGGAACCAGACCGGCCTGTGCAGTGCCAAAGTTGTCACGGATGAACCCGTCGTGACAGTGATAAAAGTTTCATATCAGCAATGGCTGCCGCCTAGGCTGGCGCAGAGCGACGCAGAGCGACGCGGGGAGAGACGCGGAGGGACCTCGGGAGAGACGCAAAGCGAGCAGGGCGGCGGAGGGAGAGGCCGCCTCACACAAAAGACCCCGGTGCTGCTGCAGGGGAAAAATATATGCACGAGCAGCGCCTGTCGTGTTCCTGCGTGACGACAGGAGTGAGGTGCGGTGGAAATGATAAGAAGGGCAACCTGGAAGCCGGGGTGGGGCGTGGTGGTGCGGGGCTGGGCGGGGGAATATCAAGCAGAGCGGAGCCGAGCGGAGCAGACCCGTGGGGCGATCCGTGTGGCCCTTTGGGGAAGGAGACCCAGCTCTTATCAGCAGTCGAATCGGCAAACAAATGTCGCGCCGGTTTGAAAAATCGCGCCTTCAGGGGGTCGGCTACCCGCGCCAGTAACTGACCTCATTCCACGGGGGGAGGGACTGCGGGACTGCGGCCCGGGACACCCGGGGACCCTCCCGCCAGTCGCGGCGGTGGCGGGCCCGACCCACTGCCCGCTGGGCTGGGACGGGCTACCCAGACTCCCTCGACGCCCACACCGTACCCGGGGCCCAGGGGCGGAAGACAGCACTGGGGAAGCAGGGAAGGGCCACGAGCGCAAAGCTGACAATCATAAAGCGTAGCGACTGACTTTTTCATACTCATCCTAGAGTCTGCCCTGACGCTGCGGGTGGAGCGCAACGCGAGCGTGCGGCGAGCGCGCCGGCCTCTGCGCCGGACGACGAGGCGTCCGCCCGAGGGGCTCCTGTGGCGTACACCTGAGCACTGCCAGCGGCGTTCAGCTGAGGTGCGTGCCGAAGGCTACCCGCTCGTGCGCGCGCCTGCCAGGCCGGCGGGGAGCCGAGCGCCCCTCGTGCACGCCTGCCGGCTAGGGCTAGGCTAGGACCCCTGCGCACCAGCCACCTCCCCTTGATAAAGGCCGCCCCCCCCCCTCCCTCGACCCAGGAAGCCCGCGAGCAGCACCGCAGCGCAGGAGACAAATTGGCGGGAGAAGGTGGGATTTGATGCGCTTACCGCGCCCTGGTCTGACCGCCGTTAAGGCCGTCCTAGGCCCAGTCCGTTTTGCCGCTGATAAAAAGAATCACTTTCAGTCAGGCCTTCCCCCGGCGCGCGTCCGTCTTGCTCACATGTCCGCCCGCTTTTCCTTTTTCGCATTGCGTCCAGCTGGCCCCCCTTCACCCCCCCCCCCCTACCACCCCTGCAGCCGGCGGCCAGCGCGCGGCTTTTCAAAACGGCGCCCGGCCCATTCACCGCCACGGCACACCACCTCGCTTTCAACCGAAATTGCTCCATTGAAAGGACTACGAGTGTAGTGCTATTTGGTCCTGCCGCTGCGAGGCCGTGCGCGCGCGGCGGGTCGCAGTGGGACACGCACCACCGGGCTGGAGAGGGGAGGAGGCCGGGGGCAGCGCCAGCGGGTCTCTGTACTGCAGCGGCAATGTCGTCAGCGTCAACACCGTGTCCCTCGGCTTGCAAGGCAAAAAGCTCCATATGGGAAACCGAGTCGCTTTTGATTTGTCGGGCGCAGCGTTACTGAGCGCGATCACGGTGAGCGTGAGAGCGGCGGCGTGGCACCCGCTGGCACCTCGCGGGCCCGCCAGAGGCGCCCCCGGGGACGGATTGGCCAGCTGTCCTCCGTCAAACAAAAGGAGATGATGAGATTAATCGCATTCGTCATTCCGGGCGACGGGGGACCAATGAATGTTTGTAGCGCGGTGGGGCCGAGGCGGGCCGGGCGGGCAGGGCCGGGCGGGGCGGGGCGTCGATATGAAACCAATCACTCAGCTGACAGATATATGAAACCATATCCCATACGCCACATCGCCTCCGGCCGGCCAGCCGGACGGGAAGGGGAGGGGTGGCGCAAGTCCGTAGCCAGTTTGACAAATTAGTAGGCATTAGCCCGGACGCCCGCTCTACCCCCTTCCTCCGCCCGCTCCGGACCCTTCCGCGCTTTCGGTGCTTTTTGACAACCAGGCAGCCGCAGGGCTCCAGGTGGTGGGTTTCTGGTGCCAGGAGGGTTCCTCCAAACAATCCCGTTTGATTCCCCCGGTTCAGCCCGGGGCCGCCGGTGGGGTGTTGACGGGTGCGTCTCCGAGTCAACAAGGTGCGGAGCGGCCGACGTTAATTGAATGAGTCGACGACCTGGCCGCCCCCTCCCCGTCCACCCCCTCCCCGCCGTCTTCTCCTGCTCCGCGCCCGTCGTGTTGACGCAGGAGTCGTCGCGGTGCGCCGTGGCGGCGGGGACGCGGCCGACGTGGGCTGCGGTTGTGTACCTTGAGGCTTGGGGATGGCGAACCCCCTGCTGGCCGCCACGTCCACGACGAGGTGCGGCAGCACGCCGACGACGAGGATGGCGATGACGGCGAATCCCGGAGAGGCTCGCGATGATCCCCCACTCCCAGGGGCAGCGGCGGCGGCCGCGCCGCCAGCGACCATGTCACCGCGCTGGTCCCGGCCCGGCGCTCAGGTGCTCAGGACGCGCCGCGCCGGCCTCGCGGAGGGCCTCGGTGGCCACGGCCGCCACATCCGGCGGCACCGGGCATAGCCTCACACTGCACTGCACTCGCTGCACTCACTTGCACTCGCGGCACTCGCTGCACTGACACTCGCGGCGCACGCGCGGCACGCGCGCGGGGCACGGACACGCACTACGCGACGTGGAGCAGCTCGCGGCTCGGCGCGCGGCTCGGCGGGCGGCGCTCGGGCTCTCGGGGCCCCTGGTGAGGCGCCGGCTGCGGGACACGGGCAACTGAGGAGGGAGGAGGAGGGCGCCAGCGCAGCGCGGTGCGGCGCGGGCGAAGGG